CAAAGCATCTGTAAACGGTACTGATACAAGTTTTAGAATCGACAAAAAGGATTTCAACTTCAAATTTTTCCGGATCGTCAAACCTAAAATAATTTCCTACATTACTACTTTCTCCGCGACATTTATAGCGGTTTATGTCGTCCTAATCATTATAGTAAAAGTAATTCAATGCTACGATTGGGAAGATGAAATAGAAGTAAAAAGTCGTGCATTACCGCCCACGAAGAAAAAAAATTCTAGCTTTATTAGAAGACAAAAACGATTTTATGATACCGCAACTGAGTACTCACGAAGAACTTGCTTTATCAGAGAATAACCGTTCACGTCCAAATAAATATAAGCACGATAAAGAAACACAAGTGGGAGAAGAATTTATCTTTTCCGATTATCCGGCAAAAGTCAGATTTGAAGACGAAACGAAGCCATCAAAAGTAACTATTACACATCCAACTATCGACATTTCACATCCAGGAATGTTACGGGAAGAAGTCGAGTGTGAAATGGATCTCAGACAAACCGACTTGAATCTAGTACAATCTTCAAAGAAATGTCTTGGATCTGGAGACGAAAAAAACACCAAGGAATATTTAGATTCGGATCACTCGGACAACAACTCCAGTGCTTTGTGCATAAAATTATTTCCAAAGCGTGAGGAAATCTCAGCGTTTAACGAACTTCGACAAATCCTTTTAGGCCAAGACGCCACTGCCGTAAAAACGGCGAAAAACCCCTCACCGTAAAAGCTTTTAATCTCGTGACCTATTTGCGTTTGTGTCTGGATTGCGGTGGAGGTCCAACGAAATTTTTACGGCGACGGTGATGCGCCAAGTGTCGAAAGTAAATATTTCTTTGCACCTGAAATGGTTGAAACGGAAAACGGTTGTATATGTTATATATCGATATAAAGACAATGATTATATTCTACGAGATTTTTCTTTACTATAATTACAAATGTAGTAAAAATAATATCTTTACTTTCATATATTAAAATCTCCCATTATTATCAATATATTCATCTGTGGTATTTTTGTGATGATATTTTTAATTTGTGTGTATACTGTGTCCACTTCGTCGTCCGAAGCAGCCGAAGTGGACATATAAACTTGAATAATATGAAGTTTCACTGGCCTGGAAGATATTGTAATTTTGATTATGCTATCGTTGAAAGGTTCGCAGCCTTTCACAAATTTTGTTTAGGCATTTGTCGATAACAAAGACCACTCCATTACGTCTATTTTTGGTCGTATCTAAAACATATATCGTGTGTTCGATTGTATCAAAATACAGGTAACCCCCGTATAACACGGCAGTTACGTTCCAAAAAATTGCCGTGTTATACGAAACAAAGAACTAATACGAAAAAGAGGGTTAGGTTCCAAAAATTAAAAATCATGCTAGTATATTTTCATAATTAAGATAAATATCTTTATTAAAATTTTCTTAAGTGATACATATTAATATAAATTAAACAATGTTTTCTTCGTCATCACTAAAAACACTATTAATTAACCGAGAGCGTTNCTTCGTTTGCAGAGATTGTTTAAACTGATGTAAGTTTACACTATGATCTTTGTAGATTTAAATACTCTTTAACTTTGATCAGCAAAATATCACAGTTGGCGGCGATCGGTTTCGATAAGAATTAATAGGTTTCCTTCGGAGGAATCGCATCTTTCCATCGTTGAAGCAAAATAAAAATGAATAAATAGCCTACTTTAAAATCTGTTATTCCCCGTTATAGTTTATAAATAACACACGTATATATAAATTAATATGGTCTTAATCTTAATTAATTCAAATAATTCCTGTATTTTCGCAGTTGTTTTGTGTCAACTGAATAGTACAATTTTTATAAACTAATTTTTCTGTCGAACATTAAAAATCGTCGAAAAGATTAAAATTATTATATACTAGCTGCAAGGACCCGCTTCGCTGGGTTTTTATTTGTGGGCAAAAAGTAACGATAGTGAAGATTAAGATAATTACAGTACATTATAGCCAATCTTACTCGTTTTCACAAAATGCAAGAATTAGGTCTAACGTTTACAGACGTTTCCAGAAAATTTTTACATGAGCATGAAAATATGTTCGATTTCCCGCAAAATCGCAAAAAACCGCATGTAAATCTTGTATGCCGCTTTATATTAACACTTCTTGGTCCCGATTCTATTTCTGAACGTTTCCTGTTCACGTCAAGTCAAACGAACTATTTTCAACGTTTCTGGAACGTTTACGATCGTTCTATAATCGAACCAATATTCGAAATTTGTTCGAATTTTAAGTCGAATTTAATTCGAACAAATTCGAACAAAACATTCGAAATAGAAAGCCACTTTTAACCACTTTCAGCCTCATATCTCCTGCACCCTTATAGCTATCGAGACGCAACCACCCCTATGCACGAATGGAGACTTGGGGCTACTACCACATTCAAACACCATTCACGTGCGATGTGTAGTTTTGGCGGAAAAG